GACCCAAGTCTTGCGGTTCTTGCCGAGGAACTTCCTCGGAGGAAGTTTGTGCGTGCAACGCTGCACGCATGCGCGACTACTTTACTTTGAGCCTCGTTGTACGTGGGCAATCACACATCACACAATAGCCTCATATAGTGTTCGCTCACTTCCGATTCGGAATACACTGTTTCAGGCCGCTTATCGGCTGGTTAGGTTCCAGTCTGTGGTTTTCCTTGTCCAAGCCGCTTGGACCAAGCGTTAAATGCCGATTACTGGCTTTCTTGCTAAATACCCCAGATCGAGCAGCTCGGGGTTTGCTGTGCCGAATGCGGCAAGGATCCCCAACGATACCAAATCTTCTCTCGATTCTGTGGGGACCGATGAGGATGATACTGAAAAGGCTGTACCAAACACCGGTACTGACGCTCTACCACCTGAAGAAAGATGGCCCTACACAGCCCAAAAGTCCGTTCTCGAAAAGAAACGGGCGGGCCTTCGTGGGGGCCTGGTATAATAAGTATCCCTGGATTGAATACTCGCATCGTATCTACTGTTACCCAGGGTAACTTACCCTTGTCGCATTTTCCGCCCGGTGCCTTCGAGAACATGGCGTGTCGAACCGACACTGTCGATGGCTTTGCCAACTAAAAAATGTCAAATCTACAAAAGTCTCATCCATCAGCGACTAATTGTCACTGACTATGATTGATACCTTTTCGAGTTGCCCAATATCTATGAACATCGATGTCGAGTTGACGACATCAATTTATCCTGGAAGATGACTTCTCGAGAGTCTCTATTAAGAAATTGCGTGCCGCGTTGATAGACTATCGTTGATGATGCTCAACCTTCACGTTTCGAGCCTAGTCGATTTGGTTGAACTGGAGAATCACCAGATGCATTATGGGAATGCTTTCATCCCGGTATTGCAATTCAGTTATATCCGGAGTATTCTGCTAGCGATCGCCTACTTCACGTCATCACCCTCAAGAGTCGTCGCCGATGCTGATTTTTGATGACTTCTGTCCCTTTTTTGTGTCGCGTTGTGTTCTGTTCTGTACATCAACCTGATTGTCAGGGAGCGTCATTCGTCATGTGGGTACCATCAATATCCTCACAATCTCGTGGAGAGTATCAATCAATGTAAGATTGGATAACAAGGATGACCGACTCATTTACTGATAGCTTGAGTAATGCTTATCGATATGATTATCCATGACTTTGGTAAGCTACCAACCGTGCATCTCCCCGGGTAAAATCGGACGGTCTCGTTCGAACGACTTCACCTTCAACCACACCTAGCCCCAACACAAGAGCTTCACACTGTCTATTCGGCCCCTATGCGGGTAGAGCAGTCTGTTGGATGTCATGCTGGCATTGCCATCGCAGTCGTGAATCGTATTGCGTTATCGCTCTCGTCGTCGTAACAAACCCGTTGAAGTGAATCCCCTGGCACTGGTGTTGTATTGAAGGCCCCCTTGCTTCCTCCGACCTGTCTCGATCAGTTGTATTCTCCCAATAGTCATTACTATGGGATGCACTTCCTCTAAGAATGCATCGTCCCCAACGGTCCTGCCAAGCACTGCTGGACCGAGAGCTATGCGATCAATGTAATATGGGGCGTTTCTAAGATGCGACATGGTATCGAGCTGGTATCAGATCGCCCGAGAGTCGGTCCGCTATCGAAGTTATGGGGTGGTCTTCGAACCCTAGATGGATCGCTTCGAAGAAAATGGTAGTAGTGGGGAAACACGATATCACGGTAGCTTGCTATGGCAAGCGTTTGCGAAGGTCAATAGTATGTCAGTTGTCGTGAAGACTTGTATTACGCAGTAGATATTGTATGTTATTATAGTTCATCGTTATAGCATGTATGTCGCGAGACTTGATACCAACTCTAACGGAAATACCGTTGATTGGCTTGGGGTAGCTCTGTGGCGATTGTCAGGATTTGACGGCGAACATAGCGAACCTAGGAGCAGATGGGGACTCTGGTGCCGTACTGGACTCTAAGAAGAAGCCTATCATGCTCATGCTCAAGTAGGAACTTCGGTAGACGATATTTTGGCGATGATGGTACTCATAGGTTCGGAGAAAACGCTCAGATATTGGACTGCTCGACTGGGCTGCTTCTACTGTCGACAATTCATGTAATAATAGTAAATAGGAGACGTTGGGCGAGGTATGGTATGTACTCAGCGAAGGGATGACAATGTAGTACTGACGACCCCTGAGAATGAGGAGTTGGCCAACATAGTGCAGCACAGGAGCGTTCTTGGCAAGACGCGGGCTGAATGTTCCATCACAGGTAGTGTGGGGAGATTCATGACAAAGTGATGGAAGGTTTCAGGTCTGGTTTTCGTTGCGGATTCTAATAGTAGTATAGTAATCTCCCACCCGAGCCGGGGAGAGGTAGCGAGAGTACAATGGGATAAGAACAACTATGACGGTCATCACTTCACGGTACTAGTCGTAATGTGTTCAACTGTGGCTATGATGTGAACGGCTCAGATCGATACTGGTGTGGATATGCTCACCATCGTTGGATGCATTCTGGGAGGCGTCCTCCAGTTTGATAGTTGGGGCTCTAAAGGGACGCTTAGTTTCCGACGGAAGAGCCCGTCTCCTCCACTACACAACGCCGCTTCTGCATCATCATCATCAGCATGATGACCTGGTACTCGGCAAAGGCGAGGGGGAATTGTTCACACCATACTGGATTCCTTCTTAGTTACATATAATTCACAAGTACTGCATCGCTCGAGCGCATCCCAGAGGAAGTTTTCTCGATGTTGGATGCAATTTTGTCGATACGCATTCTTTTGGAGTACCACACCTCGGCTTCATCCTAGCACCAGTCGCCATTCGTTAACATGTTTGCTACGTTCCGGTTTTTCAGAGGTCTACTATGCACTATTATACTGTACACTTTATGGGATTTTAGTTCTTCTGTGGAGTTTTGATCGTGCCTTTTACTCTCATGCTGGCTCGGACTACCAGTGTGATATAAGTAGTAAAAGGAGACTCTGAGATACCGCTCTCTGCACTCATTCACTATCTATCATAATAAAGTATTGTGTTGATGAGTTGATCAGCAATGGTGTATGGTCATCGGAGTTACGTTGCTCATGTTACAAGACAATCTTCTACTGTTGTGGTATCCACTCATTCATTGGCATTGTATTGCACAGTCTTACTGTAGATCACTGTACGCTACCGATACCAATAGCGATCACACATGCATGTGAGTTGTGCTGTAAAGACAATTATCGTCGGAGATGATGATTAGTGACGAAAGGGCGGAGCTCACTGAGTCCATGGATTCAACCAATGAGTTTTACATAGGTCCCCGGTTCGATCCCCGGGTAGGGTATTTCTCCATCATTAAAGTCTTGCTGTAGATCACTGTACGCTGCCTATACCAATAGCGGTCACACATGTATGCGGATTGTGCTACAAAGACAATTACTGTCGGAGATGATGATCTACTCGACACCTTCGAGATCTGTATTGAATGTATCTGTTCATTTATCTGCTATTCAATAGCTTTCACTGTCGTTGTGTTGTGGGAGAAACTGAGTGAGTGCTCCTGGTAAGTACTAGCAAACACAAGACGGATGTGAATCGTGTCTAACCATCGAGGAGTTAATAATAATATTGCAATCAGCATACAGTCGACCTTTTAACGTTTTTTGCCCTCAAAGGGTATGAGAAGAGGAAGAGAAACTCAGCCAATGTTTTGCCACTGCCATAACGACAAACTTCCATCGGCACATCCCGTTATGAATAGGTTGGTATTAACTACCAAAGAAAAATGCAACGTGCCGGGATCGAACCCACGACCTCACCAAGAGACTTCACGATACGGACATCCGCGTTTCTCCTCTGCATAGCCGTTTGCCACCACAGTATCGGCTTCAATGTCGGCAGACTATATGCCCGTATGCTACCATTCATT